AGTGAGTTTGTATCCTTCCATTTTTACCATTCTTTTATAAATTGAGGTAACTGGCAATGCCTGTTTGATCCTTGTCTCTATACAATAACTTTTGTTTTAGAATAAAACCCTTGTTCTTAACTTTCATACCCCAAATTCAGGTAGAATGACTTGAAAATCCAATTTGAGTGTATTTAACTGAACAAAAAATTACAAATATTGGCAAACAATTCTTCTATTATCCTTCAATTAAAACCAGCTTTTGTACTGATAATATATCTATGGCATTTAGAGACGAAAATACTATCAATTTCTCCTTATATTGATTATATTAATATTATAATTATTTTATTTCAATTTTAGATTTTTTAAAATTATTTTAATTTATATTAATATTAAATTTATATTTATAATCCTTTATTTTACTTTGTTCCCATCTATAAATTGTAAATTATAAAGATATTAAGACTTTTCTGACAAAGCTTATTTACCCTCTCAGAATGAAACAAAGAAAGATTGTTGTTAACCAAGCCATAAAAAATAACTAATAATGAAAGGGGTACAAAGAATATGTGTTTGAATTGATATATTGTATGAAAAACTAACAATTTCGAAGATGGTGTATAAACAATTAGATGGAAAAATCTTTTGCACAGTTATACTTTGTTTTATTTGTTTCTTTTTTTGTCCTCCCCTACCTCGCCTTTTAAGCTATACGGGATACATTCCAGAGGTATGGGCGGGGGATTAATGTCAGAGTTAAAGCCCCCTTGCACCGGTACGCGAACTCATAATTATTTTATTGTCTTGTGTTACCGGGCAGCGCGGTGAAGTGCACACGCGTTAGCCCGCTCGACCATCCCGCCCCGTTAAAATAATGATAACAGTTATTATACCTATTTATTGATTCATTTACTGATTTAAAGTATTTTTTGACCAAAATATTTAAATGGAATCAATATTTTTTCCTGATACAGTCCCAAATATCAATCAAATGGAAAGTTGTGGGTTTAAATTAGGTTTATGCGACTGGTCTGACCACTCATTTGTTAATGAGCTCGTTGTTTTCAAAATATGTAGATTAGATTAACTTTTTAGAGGCCGATTAAGGAATAGGATATATATCCAGATGTGTCGAAGGTTCGCATATAATTATAGGCCACAGCGTGTCACACATTTATAAAATTGGCCCATGTCTGTTTTCTTCTTTTTTTTATCAAAAATTAGGAAAACATTTCCGATACCTTGTAAGGTATTACTTATAGTATTACTTGTATGGTTATAATTAGGGTACCCATTTAAGTATAAGGTTTGAATGTGGATCACGAAAGGGTATAGTCATCCTAAGTAAAATGAACGTTGTCTGGCATTCCATACTTGTTAAAAATATTAAAAATAATAGTATCGAAACGGGGATTAAGTAGCAAAAAATTGTGATATTAAAAAAAAAATTATAATTTTATTTATTTTTTTGTTTTCTCTACCTTGTAGGGTTATTGGTAGTGTTGCCCAAATGCGAGACCCAGACGAGTTTTGGTCTTGCAAACTCAGTTTGGTCATGGTCTTGGTCTTGCACAAGAGTCTCGCAACAGTCTTACAGTACTGTATTTTGTAGATAGGAGAAAACTAACTAAGCCTGAATGAAAAATTAGAGGAATTAAATGCAAAACTATATTGGTTATATCAATTATTTACATATACTAAGATTGTCGAGTATTAGTAACTATTTTGCCTTAATTTTTTATTAAAAACATCGATTTTTTTTCCAGTCCCTGGTCTTGGTCTTGTAACAGTTAGGCGGCCTTGGTCTTGGTCTTGCAAAACGCAAGACCAAGACCGATTTTGGGCAACACTAGTTATTGGCAACACCTTTTATTAACAGTTATAGAAATGTATTCTTTTTAAAAATTCAAATGTTTTTTTAACAGCTATTTCACTGTCACTTAAAATTTCTTTTAGGCATGTCCAACTTTTTTCCAACAGTTTCAAATACAGAATAGTTCAAGTTAAAAAAATTTTAGTTGTACGTGTTCAAAAATATAAATTACAAAAATGCTAAAATGGGTAACCTTGAAAAAATTCTTTACTTCCAAAAATAGCTAGATTTTTTTACCTATGACTCCGGAAGCGAAAAGATTTAAAAAAAAAATTAAAATACTTTAAATTGTGCATGGAATACCTATATCTAAAAATTTGGTAATTGGCAAGTTCGAAAACCACGGTCAAAGAACGATTTTTTAAAAACAGATTTGAGAAACCTATTGCTATAAGTGGCTCTACAGCATGAAAATGAGTTAACTAAGAGAAGAAACTTATAGAACAAAAGTTGTAGAGAATCAAATCCTGCGTCCCATAAGTACCAGTAGTTGATCCTTGATTCGTTTTTTTTTTTTTAATCAACGTAATTGATAAACGTAAATAAACGTATTAATGGAACGTAAAGATAAAATTATTTAAATTAATATTTCTTGTCCTTGAAGACCTTTTCAAGTATTTAGCACACATTACTTTCTTATGTTTCTTGTTGGTACACCGAGTTGAAGTAATTTATCCTACTTTCCGACTGCAATTCCTTCTTGGTGTTTTTCTTTTTCAAGTCCTCGAAATCAAAAAACCTCCCTACATCTTAGAACTCCTTACTTTACACTCCCCTATCCACTTTCTCAACACCAGATCTCAACCTATATGTTTATATATCCTCTCTCATACAACCACTTCCTTCAGTAAATCCTTCGTCATTCGTGCTACCTCCTTCTGAAACTCCTTACCCATCTTCATACGTCAAACCACGTCCATAAACCGACTATAAATTCAAACTTCCGCAAGCTTGTAAAAATTTCAGCGTTATATACTTACGTTGGCCACCAGCAGTTAATTGATAAAAGTCATTTTATTTTTATTTATTCACTTTTTTTATATCTCAGTATTTATTATATATGTTTGTATTTTTCGTTAGTATTTTTTGTAGATATCTATATTTTCCTTTATATATATATTTTTTTTTTGTATTTTAATTAGTATCTTTATATACATAATTTTAACTTTTTATTTCTCTTCTATGTAGTCAGTATGTTTTGATAGATTGTACAGTATCTTAATTTTCTTATTTAAATCTATTATTTTCTTTATATAATTTCATATCCCTTTTCTCTGTTTTACAAATTATTACTGTTATTAATTTTTTTCATATGAACATTAATATTATTTTTTCATAATTTAATAGTTTCTCATATTATTATATGGTCTTTTTTTAGTCCTGATGAAGGCCTGAACTTTGGGCCAAAACCTCAGCAAACATAAAAATAAATATCATGATGAATGAATATACATATGGATTTTTAATATTCCAACAATATAAGTGTTTAATATGCTTGCTTGTTTAATGCATAAAGCTCTTTTCCACGTCTCAGCAGCAATGGTATCGACCCTCATTTTACTGGCTTGATATTCTATAAGTAAACGTCCATTTTTTAAAGCGATGGTAATGGTAGAATTGGCAAGAAATATTTTACTTAAAATAACATATACTTTAGTCATTTACATTCAAACTTCCTTCTGAAATGAGTACCCTTTTCCCAGGGCTATTGTCCTTTGTAGAAGAATATGTAACGAAGGTACAATGTGAATATCTCTCTAAATAGTTGATTAATATTTTCACTATTGTTTTAAGTACACCAAAAATTCTATTATAATCCGAACGTATCCATGGAACGATATATATTTTTTCATAGTGGATTGATGGTTGACTGTAATGAATAATTGAAGAGAAGTTGGTTGGGGTGTAAGCAAAAAAAAAAAAATAAATAAATGAAATTTATTCTTATATTTGCTGACGTTTTGGCCCAAAGTTCAGGCCTTCATCAGGGATAAGACCAGATAAAAATATGAGGAACTATTAACTTATGAAAAAATAATAATATTAATAATAATAATGTACATATGAAAAAAGTTAACAACAGTAATAATTTTTAAAACAGAGAAAAAGATTATATAAAGAAAATAATAGATTTAAACAAAAAAATTAAGATACTGTAAACTCTATCAAAACATACTGGCTACATTGAAGGGAAATAAAAAGTTGAAATTATGTAAATTATTTAAATAAAAGGCAATGAGTAAATGTATCAATATATACAAAATATACGCAGAGATATGGAAAAGAAAGTAAAGAAAAAAAAGGTAAATGAGGAGAATACTGAGATAAAAGAAGAAGACCAACCTGGACTCACGAGAGGTTCCTGCAAGACAAGATTTTTTGAACAGTGTGTTTTCTTAGCCCTGATGAAGGTCTGAACTTTGGGCCGAAACGTCGGTAAATATAAGAATAAATATCATCTACTTAAAGTAAGTATAAAAAAAAAGAAAAAAAAAAGAAAGAGATCGAACTTAAGACCTCAACTAAGTTGATTTTGTACATATAAGAGATTTTGTATATTTTTATCCATTGTTTTTTCATTTTATACACAAATAAAGGTTATTATTATTATTATTATCATCATTTACTTATTTTTAATTTGTTTTTTTTTTACTGGGCACCCCAAAAAACTTCTTTTCAATATATATTTTGGTTTATACATGTAATCAATATTTCATAGATTGAATGTAACACGTGTCTACTTGGTTTATCAAACTTATAAAAGCAGTGATCAAAACATTACATAAGGAATAAATATCTCAGGAAGAGTATTTATTAACCTATTAGTTTATCAAACCCATGAATAATATTAACATTTATGAAAATATATTTAAAAAAAAAGTCGACATAATTTATTATGTAAATAATACGAATAAATCATTTCGAAGCATCTACAGGAGAATGAGTGTATAAATCTTCTCACTGTTTTTATGAGAATATTTCAGAGAAGGTTCGTCCAAGAGATTCGCGAATATTAAAATAACCGCTACTCCAGTAATCTGACACTTAGGTTTTTTAATGTCACTGTTACGGATGACATCTCCAAAGACCAATGCGTAATCCGGTAGCCTGGGACATGGAGCCCAAACCGGTTAATAAAAATTCTTCCACATCCGCATTGGAATGACCTCTGGAGAGCCCTAATGTATATATCGAAGAGGCAGCCAAGTCGAGTCCGCCTGTTTACATTCCAGAGTGCCTTAGCAGAAATGTCCCCCCCGGTTATATAGGGGCTTCTATTTCTGTACGCGACCTTGGCTGGCCTCTGGAGATTTATATCACTTCCAGCGGGTCCCAGCCCCCTCGAACGGTGACTCCAGATCCTGGTCATCTCAAAGCGAAGAGAATGGAATTCAGTGGTAGGTATGACACATATCATAAAAATTTTGAAAATAGGATAAATGAATTATATGTAATAATGAAGCAATTTCGCAAATATTGTAGTGATATTTTTTAAAATTTTATTTATTGATATGAAAAAAAACATCCATGTCTTAAAAATTTAGTAAGTCGATGTAACATACTTCGAAGGTCTTATTCATATACTTCGTCCGTTCAATGCAACATCATGAATTCAAATGTTTGCTACGTCACAAATAATAACTGAAAAAAAAACAACTAAAAAATCGGCTCAAATTTTGTGTAATTGATATTATTGAAAGATTCCAAAAAAGAAAGAAAAAAAGCCTAACATATCGTTCAGTCACCTCTGGAGTTACCGTACTAGAAAAAAAGATGACAGCATCTTGAAGTAGACCAAATATATAACACCTCAATGATCAGCACTAGTATTACAATAAAATTATTATATTATAATTATAATATTATAATATAAAATTATAAGTTAAAGAGTTTTATTTCAGAAACTACTAGTCCGATTTGAAAACTTCTTTAGATCTTTCACTAGACCAATTAATAATGAAAGCCTGATAACATTACGATACGATACATAGGATGGAAGCTCTAACTAACGTTATTCATTATGGAAAACTATAGGCTTCTGGATAAATATAGTTTGCAGTCATGATATATAAAGCACAGAAACAAACGGATGAAAAAATTGGTTAACTTTGTAAGTTCTCTTCAAACAGTTTCAAATATATCGTGTTCGGATATAACTTTGTCATTATAAAATCATCAAACAGAAAATGTAGCCCAGTCAAATTAGACATGTTGCCTTGCAAGAGATCTGGTAATTCAAATATATTTTTTATACAGTGAATATAAAAAATCGAAATATAAAGTTTCCGCTCTTGAAAGCTTTGTGGTTCTCTGCAGTGCTCATAAAACCATTGAAATTTCGAATTTTTTTTGTTTTATGATTTTACAAGATACAAAATATCTCCTTTTTAGAGCAGCATAGATAAAAAAATGGCTATATTCAATATTAAACAACTCGAAATTACCTAATATGTATGCATAACAATTTTTTTTTTACCCAACAGGAAGCGAACTAATAAGCTTTCAAAATTTACTAATTTTAAACAGAATTCTTTAACACCATTTTGAATCTGGTCAAGAGAATTCGTAGTTTTTTCTTGAAGATATAGAATGAGCCATTGATTGGACCGGTAGACGGTAGTCGGGAGGTGTTTTGAAACGTATGTATGTACACGGTAGGCCAGAGCCTGCAACCTCCCCCACATCCCAATGAATTGCATATATATTATTAGTGTTTCTGGTAAGTATTTATTAAAAAAGAACCAATGTTCCCATTTAAAAAAGTTGCCGCCCAAAGGGGATTCAAACAGGAAAGATTGACGTCTTTGACTTAGTTTTTCGGTCACTGAGATTCGGCATTTGGCTTTATTTCGTTATAATTTCGCATAATTGCCCTTTGATTAAAGCTGGATAGTTATAGAATAATAAAATATTAAAATAAAATTGGCTTTGATAATAAAAAACGCCAGTCAATTCTAGTATTTCAATTCGTTCAAACTAACGCTGAAAATCAAGCGTCTTTTGTAAATAAACGACCTAGATAACAAAAAACGCCCAAATACATAACATCTGGTGATTATTTTTTTCTTTCTAAAACACTGATTACTTTTAAAATATTTGAAGCAGTTACTTAGAAAATACACTTAATTGATGGAAAAGCGACATTGGCATAGGCGTCTAGAGCCCTTTGCCATATCATTAAGTATAAATGGCACAGTTATAGTGCTATAATGATTATATTAATTTTTGATTGTATTAACGAACCAATATTAATACAATAACTTTATTGCCATTTTTTTATATTTATGTTTTTTTAAACTACACATTTTGAAAGCTCGATAGTTCACTTCCTGTTGAGTTTAGAAAAAATATTATTTGTAAAAATGTTAAATAATTTTAATCTTTTTAAGATTAAATAAAACCATTTTTTATAGCATTGAAAACGAGATATTTAGAGAAAACAAAAAAAAAAAGCTCGAAATTTTAATGGTTTTTGGAGCACTGCAGCGAACCCATAATGCATTCAAGGGCGGAAACTTGGTTTTTTTTATAGCGAATGCATACCTAACAATATAAAAAATAAATTTGAATTATCCGACCTTTTGCAAGCTGGACCACTTTAATTTGATCGGACTAATCCTTGTGTCCTTTCTTTTTTCGACAAAAATTTAATATTACATTCAGTCATTCAGATGCATCAGGTCAATGTGGTTATGGATATACATATATACATAAACGGGCATGCATAATCTAATTTAACGCGAAGTAAATCGCTGGGCACAGTTTAAGTTTTTTTTTCAAGTGTTTTGACATTTCAGCCTTCTTTTGGAATCTTCTTGAGAGCAAAGAAAAGGGAAACGAGTATTTTTATTGATTTTAATCATCTCTGCCGATTTCAATAGCTTTTTGATGTTTACTTTTTGCAACACGATTCAATAGAGAAATCGTCATATTATGGAAGATTAAATTTACGAACATATTCGCAAGATAATATTTTCTGGTAATTTTCAATTTAAAAATGTATAGAAAATCTTTTTTTCATCAAATGTTAATAATACAATGAGAGTAACAACTATTTTCATAATTTACTTATTTGTTGGTTAACATTTCCGATGGTATTTGAGAGTTTTCTGTTATCCTACCCAATGTCAAGGAAAATGTTTTTCAATGGTAGATATTCAAAAATATCAGAAAACGACAAGAAAGGCATATATAAATTGACAAGCGGTTTGACACTAACGGACTCGATTCTTCCTACCAGTAGCTCCTGCTATCTTAATGGTTATTGCTGGATTTCGTTTCATTTTTTTTAGTAACGTTAATAGGATCGGTATAACAGGTTAAAGAATTTGCTTAAAAATAACTCTTTTCCTTATTAAAATGTAGCAGTATAAATTAAACACATACAAACGACTATGAAGTTGTACTTTTTTCTTTGTATGTGCAATATCAACTACGATGAATGCCGCTACACAACTGGGGTTGGAAATAAATAGAAACAAGACAAAAAATACGGTTAGCTGCAGAAATGGCGACAATTTTGGTGATACATATCCTATAGAAGTATTCCTTTCTATATGTTTGAACACTTTAGAAATTTAGAGAGATTTAGATATTCAGTGGTTACGATAATTAGAAAAAATTAAATTTTAAGAAGAGGTTAAGGTTATGTTGAAGACTGGAAATACATATTTTATTTCTGTAACAAAGCTAGACCATTTAAAATTGTTGGGTTTGGTAACGAAAGAATCATTAAAAAACAAATACTCGCAGCGCTGATGATACGCGCTGGTTCGGTTGAGTTTGATGGATGGCAGCCAATGGATGGAAGTACATAGAGAACGATTGGTGGCATCGGCATCGAACCTTCGGTTCCGCTAAGCCTTTTTATTATTATTATGCACTACAATAATTATTATTATGCTCTGTTTCATGATCAAAATGAAAATATCTTGAGGTCTTTGTATATTATTTTGCAAAGGTGGTTTTGTCGGAACGATATGTGCATGTCCTCGTTTATTCTTTAAGAAACAGAACGATTGAGGATTTAGAAGATTGTTTCTTCCCAGATAAGTCAGGAAAAAAATGTACGATTAAAAGGAAATTTTATTTGCGCATACCTAGAAAAAAAAAACAACAACAAAAACAGTTTATATAACATTGCACTCGTGATATTAAGGTTTTTAAATTTCCAATACGAAAGAAAACTATAGAAATTTTTGGATCTCTTATATTGAATGAAACGTTGCGGTCGAACAAGGAAAAGAAAATTGATTACTCACTCTTATTATACATTTGATTTATTTATTTCAATACAATATTGTCATTATATTGTTTACTGAACAATAACTGTGTGATTTATCCTCACGAGCCAACAAGTTTAACTTTAAAAGTATAGAATAAATTATAAAAAAACATCAACGATTTAAAAAAAAAATTGGGGTCAAAATACATTGAATGAAAATAAATTTATATTCACATTTTATTATTTTGCTCTTTACTAGATACATTGCTCTCTGCTAATCTTGAATAAAGTCATACTCACGCATTCTAATAACCAACCACTAACTGCCCTGAATGTTGGGGTAATAATGGAAAGTGACCAATTACATCTTTACATACTAGACTTTAGATTCTTGTATCTAATGGCATTACTATCATGTGGTAGTTACCTGCTTCTGTAATTTCAGGCAATAGCAATGTAATGAAATTGTCTATATTCCATATGTCCATATTCCCGATTAAAAAACTAACGAATACAAAACGTCCATTTGATAGGCTGTGAGCGAGAGGAATCCATTTGTCACATCATCTGTATGTCACATGATTCAGCTTTTGAGCAAAATAAAAGAAGATGATAACATTGTAGATTTTTCTTATTCTAGTAGCTGTAATCTTAAAATGTTTTTATTATCTTTACCCTGAATTATTTGACAGAATGAGAGCAAATATACGACATTAAGTTGATTTTTTTTTCCATCACCTCAGGACACTGGTGGATCTACGTGGTGGGAAAAGGGCCATTAGGCTGTCCAAAGTAGATTTATATATTTTTTTTCAAGCAAGTATTACTCTTTCATTAATTACTATTTTAATTTTATTTTTTTGTACCGGCCTTCAAGGACTATTAAAATATTTAATATAGGATAAAACCTCCAGTTTTGGTACCCTTACGAAACGTTAAAATATGTTTGTCAACAATTTCGGTTATGTTTAGTTTGTAAAGATCACTAAGTTAAAAATATATAATTGAAACAGTGTCTTTAATTTTTTTTATATATTTTTTTTACAGTACAATGGAAAAATATTAAAATATCCGTAAAATTCTACAAAATGTAACAAATACATCATATTTTATTATTAAACTCTTCATCCCCTGTTTTTTCCCCT